ACTTGCTTTATTGTAATCCACATAGGAGAACGTACATGTCCTCTTTAGACTCGAGCTACTTGGAAATTCAGGTTAGAAAGGGAACAATAGGTCAGAATAGGCATAGTTTTAAAATAATGCCTTTTAATATAACTAAATGCTTGTAGCTTGTTTCATTTATAATTGAAAACAGTACAGAATCTCCTCAATATTTGAAGATACTAATGGGTTTAAGTGAACTTAAATGAAAGGGAAGTCAGCCTAAAGGGTTTTATGCTTCACTTCTCCATCTGATTTGGTTCCTTGCCATGTTAGATTGCAACAGGTTCAAGACTGTGGCTTACAATTGTTTTTTGTTTTTTTCCACTGGAGCTGTGTTCCATATCTTCCAGTATGCAGGAAGGATTTGCAATCCTCTGTAGGTGAATCTTCTTCATATAAAGGCCTGAATATTATTGACCCAATATCATTGACCTCAACTATATCACTGTAATAAAGTGATACAGTACACACGGCAGTATGGTGATGCTAATTCTGGGAACTGCCTCCAGTTCAGCATGTCTACATACCCTAGTCCAGACTGTGCTGCACCTGCTCCATCCATGTGCTGTACTGTCCAGCTGCCAGCAATTCTTGGCGGTGAGTCAAGTGTTGGGCTTGGTGCTATACTAAGCCATAGGTCTTGAGAAGAGTTACATAAATTAACACAACTCTTCTATTTATTGTGATCATCTTGCACACCAGGCTGCTTCAGAGAGATGGGACTTACTTGCTCAATGCTGTGCTAACTCACACTAGAGTGAGAGAACTCTTTCTGGAATGAGTAAGACCTTGTGGTTTCTAGACCAGAGCTGATGTGCAGTGGGGCACTCAGGCAGGTCAGAAACATACCCATGCACACCTGACTGCAAAGAATTTCCTAAGCATCTCTTTTTCTTTATTCTCTCAGTCATGGAGAGAGAAAATATCCCTACAGATACTCCTTAAAAGGTGTAGGGTAAAAAGGGCAATACACATTACAGCTCAGACTTCTCTGCATTTGAGCCAGCAGATACAAGACCAGATTCATAAGCCCTAATTGACAGATGCGAGTCAATTTTATCATGCATATAGTTCCTTATATATAAATTTCCACATAAAAAAATGGTTGGCTCTGAATGTGTGTAAGCCCCACCTCAGGACTGTACTGATATGGCACTGCTTTTCCCAGGCTACAACTGGCTCATGCTGGCTACAATTAGTGTTCATCTACAAAAGTAGTTAGATATGCTGATGCAGAGGTGGGTTTCTGAAAATGAGGCACAGCAGAGTTAGCTCTTTCCTACCTTCCCCATTTTATTTTGTTGCTTCTCATCTCTTAATAGTTATTCTCATTGTGGGTTAAAAAGGCAGAAAGACTTCAAGGACTTTAATAATAATTAAAAAAAGGATATGAACAACAACAAGTTTGGCAGACGGAGAGAACACACTAATCAGAAAAATCTTCCTTACGTTCATAAAATTTATTAAAATTTTTCGTAACTTTAAGGGGAAAAGAGATTTCAGACAATTTTTATTTTTAGTACTGATATGGGTAATAAGTTTTATTCTGAATTTTAGACACATTTAAACAATTTATTCTTTTATGATTCGATAGGCTTTTAGTGTTTGGCATATTAATTTGAATGTTCACATATGATCTGACATGGAAAGAGTTTTACAATCTGCAAAACAGTATGCCTGTCACCTCTTTTTGACCTCTCATGATGACAGTGATTCAGACCCAGTCTGGGAGCCATGGTTTTTAAACAGCTCAAAAGGAGAGGTACGTACTTGCAGAAGGCATTTAGAGCTCCTAACCTGGATGCTTAACTTTTAGATAGTGAATCTCTCTCCATATCAGATCCATCCTTATGGAGCAGCAGGAAGAAAAGAAAGGCTGAGTTGCACAAGTCTATCTGGAAAGATCTGCAGACTTACAATAGGTAATGATTCGCAGAATTAAGAATTGCAGAGTATTTGCAAGCATAATACATATGAATGTGTTATTCTGATCCTGCAAAAAACCTAAATGTAACTAAAAAGTACTGTTTAAATCAATGCATTGAGTTTTAAGTACATAGTGAATAGGCCTATTTGTGACCTTGCATTTCTGTCCTTACAAGGAAGGTATCTTTGCTCAGTCTCTATCAGACTCCAAAGAAACTGATAAATGGAATCAGTGTCTGGAATGCAGTGAAAAGGAGGAGCTTAACAGCAACTGAAAGCTGAATTTTCCTATTGGTGAAACTAAGGCAAGAGGTGCATGAAGCTTTACAACTGTAACATGGTAAATATGCCATATGCTTTGAAAAAGAGTCCTTGCCATTTACAAACAATCTTTCAGAGAAGAATCTACATTTAACTATACAGAAGTTTCCAAGATCTGTCATAATGCTATGCTTTCCTTTTGGTGAGCTTATATGCTGACAACAGTAAAGGAGTAGGTTTTGGAAATAAAAAAATCAGCAATGGAATTTGTGGTACTACAAAACTCAAATAAGGAAAGATGAAAAGGAATTTTGTGACAGGAGTAAGAAAATCAAACCAAATTGCTTTGTGGTCTTCTGAATAGAAGTTTATACCTGTTTTTTCAGGTACTGGATTCACATGTACCACTTAAGCATTTTCTAAAACCAGGTGTTATAAGGAAAGAATCACCTGCACTGAAAACACAGATAAAATATTTGTAGTGAGTTTTAAGGTAAATTAGGACGTGAAACTGGAGTATTCCATGGTGTTATCATTTGTTGTTTGCTTTAAAAACAAAGAAAGAAATCCAAAATAATTTTGCAGGTTGTTACAGAACACCACTGATGGGGACAGTCCTGCTGCATCTCACGATTGCATAAAGCTGTTGAAAGAATTTGGTAAGTTTAGGCTCCTGAGTCCTAGTGTGTAAAAGAAATTGAGAGGTCAAAGATGACAACTGGTTTTTCATCACAACACAAATAGCCAGCTCAATACTTATCGCTGGAACTTAATTTGAATTGAAAGATTGACATGAATTTTCAAAATGGAGCTTTGAAAATTCTTAAAAAAGTTCTTAAAAAATCCTGTTGTGCAATTCAGAGGAGAAAAAAAATGCGTCTTACAAAAGATGTTGTAAACAATGATAGAGCTAATTCAAGCTGACAGGACAAATGGGAATGTATTCAAGCTACAGCAAGTGTATTTCACATTCAATGCCAGGAAAAGTATTCTAAACTAAACACACACAAAAAAAAAGAGAGAAAAAAGAATACTAAAACTTTACTATAAAAATTCCAATATTATTAATCACTACTTCTAAACCTGCCAGCAGTGTAAAGCAGGTGGCCACATGACCATTCACAATCTCATCTAGTTAAGGACTGGACAAGAAAAGTATTACCACTATATAATATCCAACTTTTCTTTTGGAAATGAACTTCATAAAAACAAAAGCAGAACTGCAAATACTATGCATACTGCTTGTTATTTCCAGTCACAAAATACCACAGTCTGTAAATAAGGCACACCAAAGGCATGCAACTGTCCTGCTCTAGGTGGGAAAATACTGCAAAGTCACAATCTTTCTCAAGGACGTAAAAAGTGTTGGAGAAATTCTTGACCTTTTCATAAACATGCAGTGCCTCTGGATGTCACTTACATTCATCAGTTACACATTTGTAGCACCAGAAAAAGGAGATCCTTTAATTTAAATGGACATAAAATGTCTGCTGTTTTTCAGATTATGTATTAGGTTTGGGGAATTACTGTTGCTGGAGAGAACAGCTCTTCTGTCTGTCCAGCAAGGTTCTGCCATGACTTCCTGCATTACTCTTTCCTGCCTGTTCTTACCGACCAGAACTCACAGGGTCTCATGGAGCAATCTACATTTCCTTCAACGTGCAAGTTAGTTACATTTAGGCAGACATAGTATTCCTTGGAAAGAGTCAGACAAGTCTACTTCTTTAGGTACAGTGTCACTCTTGTCTGTAAATCGGGGGAGGGGCAGTGAAATGCACTAGCATATTTCACAAATAGTAAGTACTAAAAAATATTTCATTAGGTCAAATAATTTCCTAACTAGGAATTGTGAATGCAAGTTGCATATGCTGAGCATTTAAGCTTAACTAGTTTTGCTACTCTGGACTATAAACCAGGAGAAAAGCCAGTCAGAGCCTTTTCACAAGTGCCTACACTATGCTTTGTGGTTTGTTTGTGTTTTGGTTTGTTTGGGGTTTTTTAATAATAAAAGTTGGAGACCTCTTTTTTTTGTGCATGAAAGTAAAGTAGTACTGTACCAGAGTGCCATAATTCCTATCTACCACTGGCTGTTTACAAGAATTTTTGGAAATATTGCTAAAAGTGTTTTGCTAAGCTTGACTGCATAGCAGGAACTGCGGGGACCACCCAAACATAATGTATATAGAACACTGTGCTGCTATCACACAATTGCATATACTGCAAGTCTGTGTGTCAGTCATTCACTCCAAAAACATTAAACACAATGAAGAAAGTGAAGAAACTAACAACCTAACACTTTCAAAACCCAAAGAGCATTATTAGGAGACTTCAGGCTTGAAAGTGATGCTTTTGATCTGGACACACTTACCTGGCATAATTGTGAGACTCTGAATAGATAAGAAGGAATTTTGCCTGTGCTTCTTGCATGCCAGTAGCTTTACAAATAGTCAGTTTAAAAGATCATTGCCACAGGCATTGCTTAAATAATTTTATATACATAAGTATATATGTATAATCTATGTCTGTGTGTGCGTAACAATGCATGGTAAACAAAAGCCCTAAGATCACTGAAAAATCCCCATAGAACACTTCATGATTTATTTTCTAGAATGAAGTATATTTTTAATTAATCACTTCAGAAACTGAAGCTGTCAGTGATCTCTTAAAATGACTATACAGATACAGCACACTTTTAGATTAATATTGATTTTTTTCCCCCTCCACTGCAAGCAAAGTTTAGACAATTAGCTTTCATACTAAGAAATAATTATTAAGCTTCACTTCTTTTTTTTCTTAAAAGATTATAATTAAGCCTTTTGATTGTGAGCTTTTTTTTTTTTTTGGTTGTTAAGTCCAAGTAACCAAGCAACTATGTGCAGAAATTAACCTTTTTATTATATTATGTACTTTAGTAGTAAAGCTTGTTTGAAGTGCATGAATAAAAAGTTAGTGAAATTACAGGAAGAACAATCTAATATAGCAATAATAGGTGCATTCACTGTGCATCTGAGAGGAGGAGGGGGGAAAAAAGAAGAGTTTTCACTCATTTTGGCCTAAAATGTATTCAGGTTTCCAGGATTCTGACATCAGAACCCAGATAACACTGGCTAGAACCATAGGGCTTTACAATAAAAGCTAAAATATTGACCATATGATGGCAAAAAGTCTTTATTTGCAGTTAACTTATTCTCTTCTAGCTACTCTCTGATGAAGTTGGTGGTGCTGTGGAGGATGATCTCCTTCTTCTTGACAAAGATCGTGACCGTTCAGCACTGTAGGCAACATGCTTATCATAATTTTGCATCTGAGCCTCGAGGAATTCCCTCTGTTGCTGGCTGATTGTCTGGCTAATCAGCCCAGGGAGAGCTTGGATGCTACCAATTAAAGTTTCCAGTTTAGTTTCCAGAGTAACAATTCTCTTCTCAAAATCTTCGCTTCTTTCATTTAAGTCAGAAATCATGTCATACATGATGTTTTGAGTCTGAAAGTAGAAGGATGTAAATAAAGGTTTAGAGAGACCTTACAGTACTGTAACAAGTAGCACAACTCTAGAAGGCTTTGCAAATGTTTTGCACTTCACAAAAAAAAGGATATGAGTTTTATAATAATGTCTAGTCTTATGACATAATTTTCCTTGTAGATTAAACTACAGTAAAATAAACTTCCCACTAAATCTGTTGAGCAGAAATGCAATATATTTTGAGTAGCATTTTAAATGTCAAAGTCCAAATGAATTAAAGGAAAGACCAGACACTTTTTTGAAATTCAGGTGCTGGGCAGTACACTAGGCTAAGTTTTCTGAGCAATCAATTGTGTAACCCATCAGCAGATTGATAGCTCCATAGCTATGCTTCATCTTTGACTGTTCTTGACTCTGGTTTTAAACACATTCTTCTAAGCAGAACACAAATGTTATTCATTTGCTCTCTCCTTAAACTGAACAGGTTTTCTTGAATTGGCAGCAGGAGTAACTGGGTGGATTGTTTTTGAAAGGTAGTGCAAGGAGTAAAAATTCAATTATATGCTTTGTTTTTTCTGCATTTCTCAATCTATCTTCCCTCTAAAAAACACTGGTTACAGCAAGTATATAGAGTGTACTTTAAAATGCCACAGTGGTCAGTAAAAACATAATCTGAAATGTGTTATTTCAATAGAGTGTTGCAGTTGGTTAAAAATAATGACTGAATTTCTGCCTCTTATAGACTGAGACTTCAGCTTAATTAAACCAGAATTAAAACTCAATGTAATTCAGTAGTCAAACTGGTTGAAGTTTATAAACCATCCAAAGGGAAGAAAATTAATTGAATGACTGCCTGAAGTGTAAAGCACTTCGTTATCACATAAGTGTTGAAAACACACTTCTCTGCCTTCTCTAGCATAACCCTTGAAAGAGAAATAGTCTACAATAAATAGTATCTTAAAAGTCCTTATTAGTTGCCAGAAGCATTAGAATGAATTGTATTTTCACAAACGGAAGTGTCAGGTGGTACCGTATAGGAAGAGAGTAATGGAAACTGAAGAGTTTAATCTCTGCTTTGATGTACTTTAATTTGAGGAGGATTTTGATGTAAATGAAAAGGTGTAGAAGAAACCCTTAGAAAGAGCCTTTTAATGCCTCTAATGTAGCCTCATATTAAGTTCACAGTAACTATTAAATATTGAGGTTTAATGAGAAATCTGAAAAGCTATCAGCTCATACCTCTACCTGTCTAGTTATTATTTTATATTAATGACAAATCTCAGCAACAATAAACAAGAGCTTGCAACTGAATAGCCTCTTTTACCTCAAATCAAATGATTTTAAAAAGATTAATAATGTCTTATGATGTATTGGCAAAGTAGGCAGCTATTATTCATTATAAAAACTTAAATAGATACAGACTTAAAGTTATTGAAAGTCACTGCTACATAAGACAACAGGAATAGAAAAGCTCTAATTCCAGTCTAGGTAGGGGCTGTGTACCATGGTCCCATCACAGCACAGTCACTATCACCAGATGACAAATCTCTTTACTACACAGCACTACACCACTACAACCCACTCACAGTTCAGCATTTACCATGACCACTGCAGTCACTTCAGGAGCTCTTAGGATCAGCCTCTCAATTGTGAAGTCTTTTTCAAATGTACAAAAAAATAAATAAATACAGTGCATTCAAACTTTGGTCAGAACTATAAATAAGATATTTCATTCAGTAGGTGCTACCACAAAATGCACACATATTTTCATTTGCTACAAATAACAACCTTATTAGCAATATTTGTATGTATAATGCACAGCATTTTCACTTACAAACTTTTACAGGACGAATGTTAAAACAACAGTAACTGGCTACTAACCTTTGCCAGGTCCACCAAAGTGTTAGCTTGATCGTTCAGTTTCCTTTGTTCCATTTTTACACTTCTTAATCTAAAAAGCAGAATTTTAAGTCAGATATTTTTTGTATGTTGCCACACTAGGATTTCTAAAGAGCATGCACAAACTTACAGGAGCAAATAATTGCACGGACAATGCCTTGACTACTTTGTGTAGAGTCAGAATTGTGCCTGCTACAATGAGAAGCATGCTTCTTCAACACCGCAAAAAAGGAAAGAGCAAGGAAATGTGATGTCCTTGAGAATACCATTTGCCATGGTCAAAGTTGAATTCAAAAAAAGGAGATAACAGTTTATCCAGACTACATGAAAGAAAGCCAAAACATTCCCCAAAGCCTCAGTATCGTGACAAGTAGATATAGGAAGAAACATAGAACAACTGTTTTTTTGTCATTATTATTGTAGCAATCAAGAATCTTCCCATGCCTACAAGACCAGATACAGGTATTAGCCCTGTTCTGTCAGAAATGGATTGGGTTAGCAGGTGTTTGAACCTGATGGAAATACAGTGATAAGTGAGTTTCTCCTTACTTTAAACAGAACTTCCATCTTACCAGCAGCTAAATAACCAACATACTTGCCAATACATTTGATTTTCTCAGATAATCTGTGAATCTAAACATGATTACGTTTTAAATTTACATTAGGCATTCTTTTTCAATGCACAATTTAAACAGCACTGAAAAACTATGAAAGAAGCAGCAAGGGTATATTTTTTAATTTGATGAGTACCCAGCTGCATTATTATTAATTATGCATATTCTTTGAAAGATATCAACACATGACCCTTCTCATGTGTTCCCTGATACAAAGCCCACATTCTCCAAATTAACTACCAGAGGAGTGGTTTGTAGATGTGATTTCCACAAATAAACAATTTCTCCCTTAAGTACGAGTCATTTGTTCAACACTTCAGAACAGACAAATACTTGGACTTTCAATGACTTTTCTGGTGGCTGTTCTAAGCAGGAAATAGCATTTTTCAAAAACAACACATAATTTTATAAACAATGTGTGATAAGATACCATTTCAGTCTACTAGGATGTCAAAGGCCACCCAAGATAACAATTGGGTTAGCTGTCAAATGGAAGTAAGTTTGGCAGCAGGTGAGTTGCCAATGCATTCTTTGACCATTTCTCAGTGATGGTATTCCTTTGAAAGCTAGTTTAAAGAAAGCCGCCTTGAAGATATTCCAAAATCAGAAAGTTTCTGTTCATATCTTTAGTTTACAAGCATTTCCTTTCATATCTAGACTAACTGCCATGAGAAAAAAGTTGTGGAGAAATATCATTTAAAAATATATTTTTAAAATAAATGGAAATAACTCTGTTAAGGTAGAAATGAACTGTTCACATAAAACTCTCATTCCAGTGGCTTGTTACTTCAATGTCATATGCTCTTCTTCCCCTGGAAGCTTCTTTCAGAGCACAAAGTAAATGGAAACTGTAGGAATGGTGCTTTCAGAGGCTATAATACAGAGTTTTTCTAAGGCAAAAATTATGGAGGAGTCTCCAAGGCATGGAATTGCATCATTACAGTCTCAGAACAGAATAATTACTCAAAGGTGAGCATATAAGGATTTGACTGGAGAATGACAACCCCAGTGTTTTGGTGAGCATCTCTCAAATAATTTGCAGAAAACATGTTTTTTGCTTTTCTTAAGATTCATTGACTCATTTGTTTGACATTTTAATTTTCAAATTCCAGGAAATCCATTGTTATTGTAGTAATACAAGTATGAGTTGACAACAACACGATAATTCACCACGGTAACGAACCCAACACCTATCACAGGCTGTAAGAACTTATAGGTAATGGCAAGTCTTTAGCTGCAGCAGTCAGATTTAAAGAAAACCATCAGACTTTCATTCTTGAATTCATTAAGAGAAAATTTTGATTTTATGAACATCACTTATCACAGAAAAAGATCATGATTCTGGATCGCGTTTCCATGGTAGCAATCAGACCACTGAAGTTCACAAATAAAAACTCTATTTTTTGCATGCAGACAGTGGTAAATTCTGCAAATTTAGAAAGGAACAGCTTATACAACTTACTTCCGAGCTCTATTTTCATTTTGTTGAAAAAAAAAAAAGACAAAACAAAAGAAAACAAAGTGTAAAATATACTAAAACAACCAAATGAGCACAGTGGGCTCGACTCAGCAGGGGGAAAGTCCTAGAGGGTGCTACTTCTTTCAGTCATAGCTGCCTGAAGAGTCTAACTCACTTGTATTCATGCTGAAGCAACTTCCAATATCTTCAAACCGTCCCACTGACTATCATCTAAAGATTTTCTTATTCATACATTACGTATCATGCCTTTTAATGTTACCATTTAGATGATTAGACATTCATGTTATCTAGTGTGCATGAGATGTAAAAAAGACCCAGACCAGCTGAAGGCATTTTAGAGTTGTGACTATGACTTTGAGACTGTTACCATGATCTGCTCTGGTTTCCTTTATAAAACTGGCCCTGCAGTGTCACTCCTTTTATTTCTATCTACAATCAAATGGTTGAAAGGTGAAGGAGGGGAACAAAAAAAACCTTACAAATCCAGACAGAAAGATAGAAAACCGTAAGTCAAAATGTTCAAAGATGAAAAGGGATAAAATATTAATTTGCATCCATCTACTCAGCTACAGCAGAAACAAAGGAAACTGCTAGAGCAATGGTTTCATCCACAGTGCATCCTTTAGCATATTTTATCTTTTGTTCATCTGTTTGTTTTCTTAAATACAACAGTTTTGGGGCTAGTGTCCAAAGTGCTAAAGGAAAGAGGGAAGCGATTAACATAGCTGTTCAAAGTCTAGCTGTCACAGATACAGAAAAACTACTGCTGCCACCTTCTTCACCCCACCTAATCAATTAATTTTTAATGGAGATGCAGAACAGCACTTTACATCCTGCAGAGTTCCTGAACAGTATATAAAGCTGGAGATCGAGCCTGCTGTGCTTTTTAGATTCTTCTCCGAACATATGTGTGCATACACACAGAGACACACAGGCAGAAACACGCACAGACAAAATAAATAGCCAAGTTAGAATGTTAAGGAATAACCATTGCAATCAAGGATTCAAGTCCAGCAAAGGATGCACAGGACATGCCACCCTCTCTCCCAGAACCCCTGACATTCCACTCCACCTCCCAGTCCTTTAAGCTAGACCAAACTAGGAAAACATACTTTTTACATCCACATAAAAATGTCTCAGCTTTCATTGAATTTTTATTTCTTGAAGTATTTCCACTATAGCACAGTAGCATTTAATCCTGCAAGTTTGCTAAATATAACAGTAATCAAGGTTTATAGAATACTTCTACCTTAAGCTTAGCTACCCATTGCTTTAGAAGATTGCTATGAAACAGGGAAAGAACAAGTTAGCCTAAATATACTAATATGAAATGTGTTAACCTGGTCTTTCCTTCCTGTTTTTCCAGCAAGATGACACATAGATGTTCATTTCATGATGGATGCTTGCTTCTACCTCTTCACTAGTTGGCTTAGACACAGACCTACACTCAAAAGTTATCAAACCATGAGTCTGAAATTAAATTTACTTAATTTACCTACATCTCCCCTGTATTTCATGGGAAATAATTTCACAGGTTGCACAAATGGCTGTCACAAGCTGGATGGGGACAGCAGAACAGAAAACTAGGTCCTGACCATTCCTCAAGAAGAATCCTGGTTCCTGGAGACAAAAGTCTCTCTTTTTTTGTTTGTTTTTTCCTCCTATGTAGTTCAAAGAAGAGTAATTGAACCATTGTGCAATTCTGATGATTTTGATGTACTTTATGACAAGTATGTACTACAAATGTTAGATAAATACTTATAGTCCAGCAATACCATGGTACAGTTTAATCCTACTACTGGTTGTAGGTCTCAGGCTCATTTTCACTTCCTCAGGTAGAGGGGAAGAACTCATTTCAGTAATGCCAGAGGTGCTGAAAGGTCACATGACTGTTGGCATATACTCCCATTTTCCAGAACAGATGTCAGCAGTCATAGTTGACATACCAACATTTCATCTTATGCACTGAGAATACATAGTGGGGAGATGGAGAGACAGAACTAAATTCTGTTTGGCTGTGCAATGATGCTGGATAAATACGCATTTCATTAAACACTATATACATATTCATGGGCTCTCTTCTATCACATCATTCTGATTTTAAAATATTAAAACACCTACTACAAAGAAAATGGTTTTTATTTTCTTCTGTCTATTGTAGCTTGAATCTTACTACCTGTAACCAAATGAATAACAACAAAGGATAGTTTTAGTGGTAAAGAACAAAAAAACTCAAGAAGCATGGGAAACTTCTTAAAAAACATTAACAAGTTTATATGGAGATAAAAAGCCAGCATATCTTCTACTTATTGCAGGCAGATAACATAGTAAAACCTTATCTTTGCCTTATTCTTAAGAGAAAAATCAACAATACTCTATGAAGGGAAGGGAATGGTGGGGGAAGAGAAAAGAGGAGCAGGACGGGACATGGGGACTTAGAGTAACTATGAGGGAAAAGGAATCTAACAGAGAAAATACCTTGACAGGAAAATCAAAGCAAAATAGTACTTACTGATGAATAGCTTGCAAGAATTTGCGCTGATGTTTCCTTACTTTTGCATGGTCTATCTTTTTAACCAGCTTTGTGTTTTTATAAATTAACCATGTTTCCCTGAGTACATTGGCCGCTGCATTTTTCACCTGTTTAATAAAAGAAAAACACCAAGCTGACAAAAATAGTACTGTGTTACGTTTCCACTTTTCTGGTATAACCTCTTTCTAAAGCTTTTAACGTGCTGCCTTAACTGTGGGAAGTAGGTACATCAAGAAGCTGCAGCAGTGAGGGGAGCAAGCAGCAACTGGATTAAGGGGACTGCTGAGTGATTTCCTTATTACTTATAGATGTGATATTGGGATCAAATCTTCTTGCATCCAAGAATAATTTTTCCCTCTTCAAAGACAAAGCACTGTTCAGTGATTATGGCAATATAAATTACAGTGAAGAAATACTAATGCATTATCTGTATGGTAAATAAGGGTATTTAATAGGACCATAACATTTCTCTCTTTCTTATCCTATGATTAGTACCTCCTAATTCTTTTAGGAATACAATAGCCTGTTAAGATTCCAGAGCTGTTTAAACAGGTTAGGGTTTTTTTTTGTTTGTTTGGGTTTGGTTTTTTTTGGTTGGTTGTTTTTTTTTGTTTTGTTTTGTTTTTTGTTTTTGTTTTTTTTTGTTGGTTGTTCTTTTTACATTTATCTTGTTTCTTTTTTATCATTCTCTGAGGAGATGAAAAAAAATACCTTGTCAATTAACGCGGACAGAGTTATATTTCTTAAGTGATTTCATTTTTTTTTTTAAATGTGTCTTTCCATAAAATGTTAAAGGTAAGAGTACCTACATTTCTTTTTTAGGCCCTCCAAAATTTTCAATAATGCTTGAAAACAACAGACAAATAATTTCAATGAAATGTTGATTAGTGACTATGTTACTTGCAAAGGAAAAATGTCTTTATCATTTGTCTTTATTTTCTCTCTCTCCAGCTTTACATCATTCCAGTCACTGCAGTGTCAGAGGTAAGTCAGTATCTAAATAAAGGCACTGCAGGAATGTCACGCAATGGCTCTTCCCAGCAAGAGGTCCCCACCTGGTTCCTGCAAGTGTTGGAGAACCTTGGTCCTCTCTTTAGTGGGAGCACACTCATGTTTTAGAGAGCTCATAATCTCTACTGAGCCCTTGCACTTCCACAAGGTATGGTTATCTCCAGACTGTGAGGAAAGCTCTCTAGCACCTGCATAACTACTTGTTGTATGGGCCTCTCAGATTTGTTCAGGTGGTTTGTTTTCTATGTGCTTCAAGTTTGATGAGTTTGAAGCTACAAAAGCACGACTTGGATAAAGTATTAGACTTTAGATTTATATGAAGAACAGACGAACAAAATAAACTTTAAAAGTTACAAATGAACACCAGACTCAAAATATGGCAAATCTCTACAAAACCTTTTTTTTTATCCTGAAAGACATTTCGAGCTCAGCTTCCAGATTACGCTAGAAGAGTGACTGTGTTAGGAAGGGACAAATTGTGTTTTGCAGTCTAGTATCAAGACCTTAACTGACTGTAGTAGGTGTGTAACTCAACAAGATCAGAAAAACACCTCATGTCAGACACCCTTTATACCTACAGAACTGCCTTCCCACTCATCCTTAGTCTTTTCCCACTGTCACTGCTCAGAGGAGATCCAGGCTGCTAGTGGTAACCAGCACAGAAATAAGAGAGCCAGCATAACCAGAGCAGTGTGCTGAGAAACACAGCATATGGAGACATGACACAGCTCTCCACAGTGCTGAGGGAGCTGTGTCGAGGCAGCCACCCTCCTCCTCGCCTGGAGAACAACTATTGTCTCCATCTCAGGCACTGACATCCCTCTGCACTCACAGTAAGGAGAAACTCTGCATGAGTTACTCTTGTGGGTACCTTTGTCTCCACATTGGCTCTTCTCAATAATGAAGATTAAACAAGTTAAGTGGACTGTGCAGCTACTACTCATTTTCTTGATCTCTCAACACTGACCTGTCTTATTTAAGTAAAGAAGAATTTCTACTGCCCTGTTTGATGCATTTCCTTTCATTTAAAATATTTTTATAAATACTAATGATTTTTATTTTTTAAAAAATAATCTCTTCTAAAAATATTATATACAAATATCTTCTAGGGCCCTTTAGTACTATGGGTTGCTAAATAAGCCCTGCGTTGAATACAAAAAACAACTGGAAAGACTGTCTTCCTCACAAACCCTGAATATATTGTTTGCTTAGAACATCTCTCATAGCTTGAAATTCTTAGATGTATCGGACATCTAATCTATTTTAGATTAAAAAGAAATTATATTCTTTTCATATGCCACACAAAAAGTTTTAGTTTAATATAATAGTCTAATTTCACTGCACTTAACTGCTGGTTACACCAATTATCTTCCAGCTACAAGGAATCTCTACTGAATATTCAAATCCTCAAAAGTTTCTGAGAACTTGAAGTTGACCTCAATTCAGAGGAAAACTTGCGGCATTCAATTTCTAACTTTCAAAATCCCACTCATGAGAAGTTCAGCAGGAGAACCAAGCAGGAGACTGCTTAAAACAAATGCAGAAATAAATTAGTACACATTTCCTTTTCAGTTGTGAATATAAAGTGTGACTTACTCTTTTAGTTAGCTGGGTGTCCATCATGAAATTATGCACATGTTTTTCAGCTTTGGTAAGTTCTAACTTCCTTGCCACCACAGCTACCACCAGTGCAGTGCACCCAGCACCCTGGAAACAATAAAACAAATCCCCAAGGTGTTACTACTGCGTTTTGCGGATTTTTGAGAGCAAGTTTCTCCTTTGCTGTAGAAGTATGGTGGGCATCAGGTGATTCATCCCTGGTAAATACAGTGAACATGCTACAGCTATTTTATTTCAGAGTAATATGAAAAGTCAGTAATTACAGGCTGATAAATTGTCAAAGCACCAAAATAATTAGTGAGCAACACCATTTGGAAGTTCTGCCTTTTTTTTTTTTTCTGCAGGGGTTGAAAATTTGAACATGTCCCATTTCTAATGCATAAACAAAGGGGGTGATCAAAACAGCTTTTAAAACCCAGAATATTAGTAAATAAATGTAGGATATCCTGTTCTTAAAAATTTTCTCAAGGTTGCAGCAATTCCTAATGAAGAAATAAGATTAGATTAGTATTTAGCACACACACACAAAAAGAAAAGTTTTCATAGGATTTTAGGGCCTAAAAACAATAATAAAATTAGCACTTAATCCCCTTACTGTATTTTCCTGTTGTTCCATAAGTCTTTCAGGGATCTTTTCCTATACTATTTTTGCTTATCTTATTACCATTTAAAATAGCACACATACATAAGACCATTTATTCAAATCTTGGATGGAGAAAACATCAATTTTCTAATTTATGCTGTCTATATGTATGCACATTCATGTATATACATGGACAGGCATGTTCCCAACAGGACAATGCCAGTAGGTGCCTGTCCCTTTGAAATGACAGTTGTCTTTATCAGCATCACAAATTTACTTTTTTTTTTTTTTTCTGGAGTGGTGAGAAGGAAAGGAGTCTAAAATGAGCCAGGTAGTAAGAAGCAGTGTATATTATACACATCTAGAGGTATAATTACTTTGCATTATTTATAAATTCTGCTGCCCTAGTATTTACTTTTTTACAAACAAATCTCTACAAGCTGTTTTTAAAAAGGTATAAAAATCTCACTGAATATACAAGGCTGTGTTTAACCTTCTGATTCAGTCCAATCTAATTGTCATTGCACTTGTGTCAGTTACACTCCAATACAATGCAATCTCTCGCTGCACATTGAGGTCTACCACATCATTTTCATTCTCAGAGCTTTCTTCTACTCATTCTGTATTTCTCCCAAAAATCTATTTTCTCTCTGTCTCTCACCTCTATAACTGCCTTACTGTCTCCAGAAAATACAGAAGAAATTTCTTAATCTAGCTTCGAAAATACAAAATCCATTAACAAATCCATAAAGACTGCAAAATAATTAACTCATTGGAAACCTTTATTCACGTAGTGTTCTCAAAAAAAATGAATCTTGTCTCTCTGTGTACTTACTGAGGTACACAATGAATTTTGTGAAAGCCTCCAATTAATTATTTCTCCATTCCCCTGGTAGATTGTTCCAAGAAATCCATCTGCTCCCTCACAAGCACCTAATTCTCTGCAATCAGTTGTCACCTACCAAGGCTTCAGCTCTCAGCATTCCCTCAGATAAGTTCCTTGTAATTTTCCTGCATTTCCTGCTTCTCTCCTGTCCTCAATACTAAGCCTTCTAGCTTAGCAGTTCTCTCCCTCTGTTCTCTAATGCTGTGTAAATAGAATTTCGTGGCAAGTTATCTGAAGTCTTGCTCGCTCCATAAGACAAGTCAAAATGGGGCTAAAAGTTCCTTTGCTTCTCTGGTTCCCATTAACAGTTAAAAAGGAAGAAGACAGCCCAAGTGGCTCAAGGCTAAGCACTGCAGAAATCCACCCAGCCTTCTGAGAACAGTACTAGGCAGGACATGCTCTAACATATGCACTACCTCCCTGGGAAACAGACAGAACTCTTTAGGTCTTCTTCTTCCTTTCATAGGAAATGCTAATAGGCAGAAGATTTCTCTGTGTGCAAATAAATTAATAAATTATCCCATACAATACCAAGAAAATGAAGACCAAAGCAGATACCTTTTGGTCCAGGATGCCAGAATCAGGGCCAGATGCTGATTTAATGACGTAACTGGAGTTCTACATGCTTACAGTAAGAGCGCTAAAACGGAGCAGCTTATTAGTACAAACCACACCGGTACGAAACAGTTGCTTATGCAAATTAACTGGGGGAGTGAAATACTGGAGCATCCTTTCCCAGTCCTTCTCAAAAAGGCTAGAGGAATGGTGAATGGCAAAAGGAGTTTGCTTTGAGGTGAAGGTGTTCCAGACTCTGTGATTAACTCTCCTCCTTTTCCAGAGCGACAGTTGTTAAGGCCCAAACCGTGTTCAAAACAGTTACTTTATGTCTCACATGAAATCTACTGCCTGCAGCAGCACAATACTGTCATTGACAAGCTATGACAACCACCGCTGTGGGGTACATGCACTCCTATCTTCCTCATCTCCAGAACAGCTTATTGTGATGGCAAGGCATCCTAGATTCAGTTTAAAACTCCTGGTTTTGTGGTATATGATGGGATCTCAGGATATGAAAACGAGCTCTCTGTATTTCTGCAAAAGTCGGAAGTATTATACTATCTGCATATTTACAGGTAGTAAAATTTACATTTTGCAGTATCTTGAAGGAAAAGAAATTACTCTCATAATAGCATACAAAAATTAAGGAAATTCCACTTAAATACATGATGCTAACTAATACTTTATGTTAGTACTCTTCCACAGTATATACCTCTTCCTAAAGAGCTCAGCATTGCTAAAAATACTAAGAAAGTGAGAATGAATCAAAATTGCAGTAATTAAATAGAAGTGTATATATATATAGTGTATATATATAAAAATATTATATAGTGCACCAGCTACTTATTTATTAAAATTACTTAGTATAAGTAAAAGCACCATAATAATTATTTCAACTACAAGAACCATTTTTAAGACATTTTCTACAAATTCTACAGAGTCTTATATTTAATTATTGCATTTTATAATTTCCAACATCATTCCTTTTGTCCTGTTTTGAAGTAAGTAAATCACTGCTTTAAGCTCTTGCTTAACATTCAGGGGAATTATATATAATACAAAGAAATTGAAAAAGGCAGGAATGTGTACATTTTTGAGTATCAAAGCAGCAATTAATTCTATTTGGAATTTGTAGTCCTTAGTCAGTCCCCTATCGACCTCTTGCATTACAGAGTTATTGTAATGCATTTTGAAGCTGCTCGATTTTAAGGGCACTTAGGACAGAAATTATTACAACACATGCAGTGTAAGCAAATTGGTCAAACCAAGGTTAAGGTTTGACTATATTGCTCATTTGGTCCATTTAATGGAAACAGGCAATAACAGAATTGACCATCCATTAATTTGATGACCATCAAGTACTCTATGCTCAAGTGTTTGCCAGCAATCACCAGTTTTAAAACTTGATGTACCTGAATTTTTCTATTTTTCAGAAATCATGTAGAATCACAGCCAACTATCTACTAAAGCAGGAGAAGCCCTTAAAAATTACTAAAAATAGGCTTCTTTAAAACAACAAGATCAGGACTCCACTGATGAGTTGAGCAATGCCTACTTCCTATTTGCAAGGTTTGGAAGATGAAGCACATGAATCTCACCCTGAATGCACAGCATTTCTTGCCTGATGGGAAATTTTGCATATTAATCTACAGAAAACGTGAGAAGTCTGAAAATAAAGATGACCCATCCTCAATTTTCCAGTTGAGCAAAGTAACAAACTCTGGACTGCACAGTGGCACCAGATCTCTGATGGTGACATAAAACTTGCATTTGTGAGCAGTACAATCTTCTAGCATAAGGTTTACAACCATTCACACAGGGTAAAGCTCCCATTGACCGTCAGTCTATTCAGCTGTTGTCCTTTAGGAAAACACTTTGATGTGTCAGCAAACAATTTGAGGACATGATTTGCATCTTTAATTCTAAATATGTTGTTTCTGTTCAGGCCAAACGATGCCTAAAGTTCAAATGCTCATGCAAGTAAGCAACAGTCTGTGAAAGCCATCCTTCAGTATTCTCTTTAATGCCTAGAAACCAAAGTGAGTTTCCCTGACAGAAATATAAGTAGAAGTTTATGTGGACACTTGACTTACATACATACTGAGGTACTTGTTAAACAGTAGTGGGCTAATCTTAAATTATGACTGATATTCCTTTAAAAAATGAATGGAAGAATGGACTAAATAGAGGGGAAAGAAAATAATGTCATCAGCCATCGGTTTCTTGATATCAAGCCCGTGCTATTTTTTAAGGGAAAGAGAAGAAAGGTGAAATTAATTGTATTTAAGTTATACTTTAAATTTAGCAACTGAACAAAATGCTTAACACAGTCCTCAGAAAAAAAACACAACTTTTACTTGGTGTTATCTTTCACTTTACCCTCCAGCATCATGAACTGCAACGTTCCCTGTCTATCCACACAGTGTCTCCTCTTGGCACTTAGTTCTGAATTACACAACTCTCAGCTGCTTTAACAAAGCAGATTATCTCTAAAACACATCAGAAACTGCTACAATGGTTATTTCCTTTGCCTGTCATTTTTACTTCATTACTCTGCACTCTATTCCCTTCTTGATGGCATCACATACAGAGCATTTGCCCTCAGTTGCAATATTTTATGACTCCTCATGGATTTGAGCTCCAATAAGCTATTTCAGACAAAATCCCTTCCATCATCTATTTACTCAGGAAGAGCTTCCTAGAAACATAAACAAATCTAATATATAGTTTTCTTTCAAATTCTTCCCCTTCTTTTCTAGCATATTACTTACTACAAAGCCTTGACCAGCCACTGAAGGTACATCAGATTCTGGTATGCCAAGATGACTTGTTCTGACTCTACATGAACCCTCCTTGTTCCCCACTCTACTCACTCTATGGGGATAGTAGACTGTTCAGGAATTTGGACTATGTACTTCTGCTGTTTTTATACAATACTGGTATCAGTAGGATCTAGAGTTGAGTCCTCAAGTGCTACAGGAATATATATAACAATAAATAAAGACGGCAGGTCTGTATTATCCAGTTACAGTTCACACATCACACTAGACCTGACATTGT